AAAGAAAGAAAGAAAGAAAGAAAGAAAGAAAGAAAGAAAGAAAGAAACCAAGTGTCTACAGCTGCTTTTCACAGGATCCCAACAGAAACAAACTTTGTTTCCAAACCCTTCGGAAGAATTGTCTAACACTCCCTGCTCAGATGTTTTTAAAGATGTTCCTAGGCTTTCGAAAAATAATCTAGGAAACCTGATAAGATTTACAGTGTGTTATCCTCCCGCCTAAAATAGAAACTTCTGTAATCTCTGTCTTTGTCACGCTCAAGTATTTGATAGGTAAATGAAATATACAGTGAGTCACTGTGGCTGACCACGCTGCTATCAGTGTGAAAAGTTGAGAAGTTTACCAACAGTGGCCATTCCCAAACTGCCTCTGCCAATCTTGACCCCAGCTGCCCCAACCCCCTGGGCAACAGTGTTTCCTCCAAAACACTAAGCAAGGAAATAAAAGAGGGTCGGGAGGGGTTGCTAGCATTCTGCAAAGACCAAGCTTTCTCTGGGGGTATTCCTTTCAGGGCCGGGATCTACTCCCTGAAAACACAAATGATTTTACCCTTTAATAAAGCAATTTCCATTTACACACCCTTTTAAAATTCTGAGCAAAAACAAACAATTTAGGCAACATAGAAACAGTAATTCAGCTGGGTATGGTGGCAGAGGCCTTTAATCCCAGCACTTGGGAGGCAGAGGCAGGCTGATCTCTGTGAGATCCAGGCCAGCCTGCTCTACAGAACAAATTCCAAAACAGCCAAGGCTACACACAGAGAAAACCTGTCTCAACAAAACAAACAAACAAACAAAAACAAGCAAACAGAAACAAAATAATCCTAAACATTAAGTTTAACAAAGTACAAAAGAAATAGGGACAGAAGCTGAGAATTTAGTAAAAGGTAAAAGTGTTTTGTTTTGTTGACACTTACCCACTCTTCCACATTGGGAGGCTGTTCATCATAAATGTGTTCCTTGTCCCACAAAATATTGGACTTGTCATATCGGTCCATCTTTCTTCGGGTTTTCACAGCAAAGAAAATGATTAAAGCAAAAGCCACAATCATCATGAACCCCAGGACAATGGCTATAGCCTAAAAGGGGACGAAAGATATTAACATAATTAATTTTAATTGCTTTAATTGAAATCTGCCTTCTAGGAGCTAAAACCCTTACCAGATAACCCTGAGCACTTATAGTTTAATGAGTATAAAACCAAAGTAAATTGTTACAGACTAGTTCTATCGTAAAACTAACCTACACCACTGGACTAAAATTAGAAAAACCCATGGAGTGTGTCTAGGTGCACAGAAACAGAAAAAGACACATACCCCATGACTCAGTTGTTCAACCCCTACTTAAAGCTAGGAATTAGCATCATCCCACTTCAGAACTACAAGTAAGTTCTGAAACGTGTGCCCAGGAGCTCACAGTAGCCGCCATATTTTTATAAATAAGTGAAAATAGCCAGTAAATTAATAAAATCAAATCTTGTGTGTGTGTGTGTATATATTTACAGAGAGAGAGTTTTTGATGTTCATTGTTGTTTTGCCTGCGTGTGCGTGCGTGCGTGCGTGTGTGTTTGTGAGATCATGCCCTGAAACTGGAGTTACATACAGGTGTAAATTGGCATACAGGTGCTGCAAATTGAACCTGGGTCCTCTGCAAGAGCAGCCAGTGCTCTTAACCACTAAGCCATCTCTCCTGCCTGTTATTTTTTCAAAACAATGTCTCATGTAGCCCAGGCTAGACTCAAACTCCCCATGTAGCTGAAAATGACTTCAAACTCTTGATCTTCCTTCCTCTACGTCCCAGGTGCTAGGATTCGACATATGCCCAATATGCTCAATATCTTCTAAATTTTAAAAAATACTAATTTCAGAAGCAGCTTTAGATACTCATATCAACAACCATGTTCATGACACATGTCTGGCAATTCTTTTACAGAATGTAAGTTTTGGGCCACCAGGGACCTGTCTTAACATAAATGATAAAGATATGATCTAATCAGCCTTTAAATCAGCGCAAATGGACAAATGATTCCTTTGATCCGGCAGGTTCCTCTGTTTTCAACACCCTGTACTAAAAAGGACCCTCTAACGATGGCGCTTCCTCTTGACGGTTCATCCAGTGTCTGGCAGATGCATCCCATGCCCCGGTGGCCTGGGCGCACTTGAACTTGAGGTCAGTGCTGTTATGTACTCATGGGTAGCAGCAGCTCTCCTTCCCACTGCCTACCTCACAGTGACATCCTTTCTCAAAGAATACAGGTTTCAAGTAGCCAGAGGATTAGGAAGGAGAGGAGTGTGGTGAGGCAGAGCACCAACGTCGCCCATTCTTAGTCCTCACCGCAGACAGGTCTGAACAGTAACAGCAAGCACCCTGAAAACCTACACCAGCAGGCAAATCACTCCATCTTCAAAATAAAGACAGGCAGTCAGCGGAGAAAGCCTGACCCAGAAGAGTGACTCATTCAGGAAAAAGAATGAGAATTCCTGAATCAAGAGCAGAAAAAAGCGCCAGCAGCAGCAGCAGCACATTTGTGGTTCTCTGTAATGAACATGACTCACAGTTTCCTAAGGTACAGTTTTTAACCAGCCCCTCCACCTGCAGCACTCAGAATCACCTGGACAAAAACGTACTGACACTCGGGAAACTGCCAAATCCGTTGGAAAAAAAAAAAAAGGAAAGATGTCCTATGTTCATCAATTGGAAGATTTTCAATTGCAATGATGACAAAATTTCCCTGATCTACAGATTTGGGACAAGGTTCCAACAAGTGGCTTGCAAAAACTAAAACACATCCTACCATGCACAAGGCCTATCTTAAAGGATAACCCTAAAAAGCATAAGGAAACGCAAGAAACACAGAACCTAGTCAAAATAATTTTAACTAAATTTAGAGAATCCATACTTCAAAATTTCAAAACTTAGTACGTCAAAATAAGAGACACTGCTGTATAAGGACAGAAACACAGATTGATGAAATCAAATGAGACTCAAAAGAATGTTCACGTTTATGACCAATTTGTGTGTGTGTGTGTGTGTGTGTGTCGCATGCTAGAGTGCACTTCCTTGTGTGTACCACACACACAAGTATACTTGCCTATACATGTGCCTGTCTGTTAGAGGAGGTCAGAGGTCGTCAGCAGGACTCTTCCTCTATCACTCCTCATTCTCATCTTTTCGAGAGACAGTCTCTCAGTGAACCAAGAGCTGGACTGTTGGCCCGTGAACCCTAGGAGCTGCCAATTTCTGTCTCATCAGCACTGGGGTTACATGCGTACACCCACCATGCTTGAGGTTTCTGCGCGGGTTCCGGGGATCCAAACTCAAGTCCTCACCAGCAAGCATTCTACCCACTGTGCCATCTCCACCCTGAGACATTTCTAACCCAGAGCCTTGTACATGATGAGCAAGCTTTCCACCAACAGGCATTCTCCAAAATCATGCTAAGTGAAAGAAGTCCATCATAAGAGACCATATACTGTAAAATCTATAAAAACCCAAAGAACAGGCAAACCTAAAAACGTTAGATTAGGGGCTGTCCAGAGGGGGTTAGGAAAACGATAAGCAACTGCTAATGGACACACAGAAGCTTCTTTGGGAGACAGTGAAAATGTTCCGCAACTGTAGTGATGTTTACACAAGTCTGTGGCTACATTAAAAAAAAAAAAAAAAAATCACCAAGGTATTCTTTAAATAGGTAGAAATATACGGAATGCTAATTACAGCTCAATAATGACATCCCGTCCCTCCCCTGCCATTCTGACACAATTAAGAGCAGGGCACTGACAATTTTTTTTTTTTTTTAATGCTCCCATACTAGTTGAGCGCCTCTAATCTCAGACAGAGAAGGATGTAAGAACAGAAAACTATGCCTACCTCCTGGGGGTCCACCACACAGTAGTGATACAAATACTGATCCACGTAGAGGCCGGTCCCTCCGGTATAAAACTGGCTGCACATGACATGTATCTGCGAACCGTACATGGAGCCAGAAGCCTGGGCAGTTGGGTTGACTCCCATTATGTACACGATTGTGGCAATAAACACCAAGATGCCCAAGATAGCGCTGACTATGATCACGGTCAAGTAATATCTTCTTGTTCTGGACATCCCAGATCTTATAATGCTGGTGATAAATATCACCAAGGAAGCAATGAAGCAAAAGGCTGCCATGGCCAACAGGAAACCTTTGGCGGCCCTTGGGTCTGTATACCCGCCATAGCCATAACCATAGCCATAACCATAGCCATAGCCACCTCCATAGCTACCAAAGCCACTTCCGTAAGGGTAGCCTAGGCTACCTCCAAAGAGGCCTGTTCCGTAGCCTCTGTCCCAAGCAAGTGTAGAAGCCACACAGGCAAATATGGCGATGCACATCACAATAATGAGCATGGACAGGATCCGAATCACCCCTGGAGGCGACGTCCATTTGTAGAAGTGAAGGATTTCATCTTCTGGATAGAAAGAGTATGCCGGCTGAGAGAGCATGGGTCGAACATGCATTTCTCCGCCATACATGTCATTGCTGGGTGCATAATGATTGGGTTTGCTAAAAGGAAAATAAAAAGACCCGGTTAGAAGCTGATGGGAATAAAACTAGCCTTGGAGATGAAACCATTTTAAACATCCCGATGAACAGTAAAGGGGCTGCCGATTCTGTAGGAAAACACGTCTGCAGCTGATCCAGTTTCCGGCAGAGGCAGACACTGCTGGTCTTGGAAGCATACATGACAGCGGCTGCTCTAGTACACTAAGGAGCAAAGGGTCTCCAAAATTTGCCCCGTGTGAGGATCATCTGCAAACGTGTAAAACACCAGATCCTGGAACTCAGTGGTAGAGTATTGTCCAGCAAATGCAAAGTTTCTGAGTTCCACTCCCAGCCCTGGGAGAAATCACAGCGTGTGTGGATGGGGCCCTGGCAGCTTTAGAACAATGGTCTCAATTTTTTTTTTTTTTTTTTTGCCTGTGTGGCACAAGGTAAGAGCATTTAAACACAGCACCCACAGCAGCCTATTCAGGGTCCTCCTGGCAGCCTCGCTCTTCTGCATCAGAAAGCACATTCATTTATTTATTCTTTGAAGGCTGACCGCTGCAGGTGCTGGGCAAACTGATGAGGAGCACTGTGCTTGGTAGTGGAGAGGCAAAAGTTAGAAAAGGAGGAAAATGCACCACCATGATGGACTTAGTTGTTTTGTTTCTTTGTTTGTTTGTTTGTTTGTTTGTTTGTTTTGGTACTGTTTTGAGACAGGATTTCAGGTGGTCCTGGCTGGCTTCATTATGTAGCTGAACTTTTGATTATCCTGCCTCTACCTCCCAGATCCTGGGATTAAGGCATGTGCCACCGTGCCCGGCTTATGCAGTACTACAGATCAAACCCAGGGTGGACTCTTCGTGCATGCTACTAACTGAGCCATGCCCTGGCCCAGAAGTGCTAGGTAGTGTCACTGGTGGGGGGGCGGTTCAGTACTGGGGAAGGGTCTGGGGCTCTGCTGGTGAGCCACAGCCCTACCCCATCCCACCTCCAACCTCCCAACCCCTTCCCTCCCCACCCCCCCCCCCCCCCCCCCCCCGCTTAATTTCTAATGAATACATAATGGATGGAACTTTCTTTCACATGCAACAGGCCCCATTAGAAAAGAGAGGTCTGGAGAGGTGGCTCAGCCATTAAAGGTTAGGCTCGCAACTAAAAATGTAAGACAAGAGAAAAAGAATAATTATTTCCTTACAATTCATCAGGTCTGTAAGGAGGTGGACTTTCAAAAGGCCTCACAGACATGGCTGCTGTCACTGGTCACCTGATCTTGATGATGAGCAAGGCTTCAAGGCTTCCAAGATAAGCAAACCTAAAGAGAAAAGTAGGGCAGTGGAATTACTGCAGAGGCCACAGGGCTTTACATCACAAAGAAATTGAAAGCCGCCGGCCTCCAGGTGCGCACTCACTCCAGCCACTCCTCTGCTTCACGGCCACTCCTCTGCGGCACACCATCAATCCCTTAAGCACAGATATCTAGCATTCCTCTTGGCACCAGTACCACGCTCCGCACGGCCCCGGCGCGCAGGCATCTTCAAACGTGAAATCCTGAGTTAGTAATGACAGCCTCATGTCGCTTTATAACATAGAAGGAAAAAAATTCAAATGGCCAATACTAAGAACAAAAGCATACGAAGAAGAACGAAAGAAATCTGAGGTTAGCATGAGACCTGGTCTCAGAAAACGTAAAGAGAGAGGGAAGGATTTAATCACATGATTAAATGGGAGAGGGCATAATAGGTGAGGGTGTCTGCCACCAAGTCTGATGACCGGAGTTCAACCCCTGGAACAGGGATTGGAAAGAGAGAACCAACTCCTGCCAGCTGTTCCTTCAACTTTACACGTGTGCCACGGTATACACGTACTCACACTCACACTCACACTCACACACACACACACACATTTAAAAATTCTTTTAAGTTTTTACTTATTTATTTTTCTTTGTTTTATTGTTGTGAGACAGTTTCTCTGTGTAACCTTGGCTGTCCTGGAACTCACTCTACAGACCAGGCTGGCCTCCAGCTCACAGAGATCCACCTGGCTCTGCCTCCTGAGAGCTGGGACTAAAGGTGTACGCCACCACCTTCGAGGGGGAAGATTACTTTTATTTTATGTTCACTGGTGTTTTGTCTGCATGTGTATCTGTGTGAGGGGGTCTGATTCTAGGAATTACAGAAAGTTGTGAACTGCCATCTGCTGTGTGGGTGTTGGGAGTTGAACCTGGATCTTCGGAAAGAGCAGCCAGGGCTACTAGCCACTGAGCCATCTGGCTTAGCTCTTCAGCCCTTCCATTTTTAAAATAAAAAAAATAATAATTTTAATGAGAGGTACAGTGGTATGCACCATAAATCTCAGACACCCAGGAAGCTGGAGCAAAAGGATCTCAAGCTGGAGACCAACCGAAGCAACACAGTAAGATTCTCCTCAAAAGCAAACAACAAAAAGCTGAAGACTGTAGCTCTGTATGAACCACTTGCTGAGAAGGTCCAGGATTCCATCCGAGGACTGAAAGAATAATAAATAGTTTCCCATTACCTTTAGACACTCATGTAAGGTGAGAAGACAAATGAGAGTGCAAATGTGACCAAGAGGGGCCAGCACCGGTTAGTCCTACAGAGTTGACGGAAGCACAACCTAGCCTGCAAGCACGCCCGTATTAAAAGTCATTACAAAATGTAGGCCCAGACGGTACGGTTGCCAGCCATCTCGTCTCTTATCTCGTTTTCTAATTCTCAAAACATGTCATCTTTACAAAAAATGAAAAAGAGAAAACATGGAACACATATTAAAGAGTTCTTTCCTGAGAGAAAGGCACAGTGATTTTTGTTCTAGAATTCTCTGCACATCTGAAAGGCGATTTCACTCAGTCAACACATACTTATTAAGGAGGCTCACTACAAAGAGGAGCCCGTGGAAGTACAAGACACACACAGAATAGCAGCTACTCCAGGCTGCACTATGTGATCGAGCGTGGCAAGGGGAAAGCAGGGAAGCCATGAAGATGAAGAGCGTTAGCTGGTGTCTTGGAAGGATAGATGGGCATTCAGGCCCATCTGTATGGGGCTGGGGCTCATTTACGGGCCGGAGAGGAAACCATATATAGACATGTTAATCTACTAAAATGAGACTATTAGGAGAGTACAAAATGCCTTGGAAGTCTGGTGACAGGTTCCCATCTCACTCAGGTAAGAAACAGGAAACCAGTTATGACTCTCAGCAGTGTAAGTATGAATGTTAGGACCAAGAACACAGAAAAGAGAGCACCCAGGAGCAGCAGCCACAAAGCCCGGGAAGGAAGGAGGCACGGGGCGGAGGAGCTAGGAGTGAAAGGGAGGAATAGCACTGGGCACCTACCCCTGTGCCAGGCATTTTGCACAGAATTCCAGTTCAGAACCACCTTGCTAACCCACTTTACAAACCCAGAAAGGACCGGGAAGACTGGGGACAAACACCCTTAGCCACTGAGTCCCTGAGATTTCACCTGACCGACAGCTCCTGTCCTTTCCACTATCAGAGCTTTTACATGAATTTCATTTGGAATATGCTGACTTTCCTGAAGTGGACAGCTGGCGTTAATGTCCACGAAGCAGTGAATTTGGACTTGATCTGCCTTGGTCCGAGGCGACTCCACGGCACCCAAGACATCTTCTAGAAAAATACTCATCAGTGAGAACTAAAACCTGAAGTTTAAGCAGGGGCAAGGTGGCACACACCTACAATCCCAGCAGAGGCACGAAGACCTCTTTGAGTTCGAGGCCAGCCTGGTCTACAAAGCGAGTGTAGGACAGCCAAGACTGCCCATGGAAACCCTGTCTCAAAAGCAAACAAACAAACAAACAAATCTGAAGTTTATTCTACAAAAGCCAGTGCTAGAAAAAGCCAAGAAAAGGTATACGACCTGGCGAAGCAGCTGAAGGGACTTGCCACCGAGGATGAGGACCTACATGAAGGAGAGAGAAACACCACCTGCTAATTGTCCTCTGACCTCCGTGCTCACCTTGTGGTGTGCACACGAGTATGTGTACGTACAGAAGGAAAATGAAAGCAGGAAGGAAGGAACCAAGGAACGAAGAAAATTCAGGCGGTAGCTTTTGGAACTTTCTGCCCGTCACTTAGGTAGAGTACACAACAGAATCAGTAGGTTCTCTCTGGGCGGCACTAGTAATTGATTAGCAAGAACTTTAGATCCATTAGGTCCACTCCATGCGGACAGGAGCTTGTGCGTGTCATCCACTGATTAAAACGGCACCTGGCACACCGTAGCTGTGTAAATGTTGCGCAAATATTTGCAAATAATAGCGAAACATTTACATGAATCAGACTGGGCCATGGCTAGTTCTGCCTGCAAAAAACCTCATGCGCTTTCAGGATGAAGGTAATGAAAAGCTATCAGAACAATTTAGCCAAGTATTACCTCCAAGTGACACTTGAGAAACGTCTATGATCTGAGTATATTAAAGCAAAATTGGCTTTCACTTTCAAATAAAGTCTGTCCAAGTGTACGTTACTCCACTAGGAGCCGTAAATCGGTTTAAACATTTAAAACATGATATGCAAACTACATAGCAATTCTCTCATATCACCAAATAGTTGATTCCAAATCTCAGAATAAAACTCTGTATATTAGATAAAACCCAAAAATGGAAGTCCAAGTAATACCAAACACAGGAAAGCTAACTTCTCCACTTTGTGGTTTATTGTTGTTGTTGGGGTGTTTTGTTTTGTCTTGTTTTTGCTTACACAGAGACAGGGTTTCTCTGTGTAGCCTTGGCTGTCCTGGAACTCACTCTATAGACCAGGCTGGCCTCAATCTCAGAGATCTACCTGCCTCTGCCTCCTGAGTGCTGGGATTAAAGACACTCCACCACCTCCCAACAATTTTTTAACTAGAATGGTTTTGGGGTACACTGAAAGATGGCAATGGGCCAGAAAGCAACTAGAGTACCTCCTGTCAGTTACTTGTTTTTTTAAACCACTTTACAACTATACAATAAACACGTATAAATCATAACTGTACAGGCCCTGTAACTAGCACACTGTCAGTTTCTTCATCTCATGTTGAAATACATATATGAGCTATTTAAAGCAAAATGGGGCTTTGAAAGGCAAAAGTCAAGTTCGGTTTCCTAAATAATATTTAGAAAAAGAACATTAAGGAGGGTGTTTAAACATTGAATATAAGACCTTATTTCTGAGACTAAGTGTCAAACAGTGACAGACACTGACCTTAAGGAATCTCAGACCTTCTATACCTACAACTCAAGACTATTCCCAAAGCCAGTCACTGTGGCTCACCTCTGGAAGGTGAATTCAAGGCCTGTGTGGGCCACATAGTTAGCTCTACATTAGCCTGGCACTTGGAGGCTGAGGCAGAAGGACTGCCTGGAGTTTGGGTTGAACCTGAGCTTCAGTGTGATAATGTCTCTAAAAACAATGCAAGAGGCTAGAGAGATGGCTCAGCAATTCAGAGTGCTTACTGCTCTTACAGAGGACCTGGGACTGGTTCCCACACTCACATCAGGCAGCAAGTGCCAGTAACTCTAGCTGCAGGAGCCAACACTCTCTCTAGCTTCTTCAGGTGCCTGTGCATGTGGTACCCACAAATATACCCTGGCACACACCCCGACACATTAATACATAACCTTTTTTTTTTTTATTTAACTACAAAAAGCAAGCTAGATGTGGTGGCCCACACCTTTAATCTTGGCACTCAGAGGCAGAGCCAGGAGAATTCTCTATGAGTTTAAAGCCAGCCTGGTCTACATAGGAAGCTTTAGGGCAGCTAAGTTTACATAGTGAGACCCTGACTCAAAAAAGAAGAGGAGGAGGAGGGTGATGATGACGATCCACAAATTCTAGGCTTGGAATAGGTTATTAAAAACTAAATTAACTCAGAGTCGGGCTTTAGTTGTCAGAAATTCAAACAAAACCCCTTTTCTGAGTGTTGTTTCCTAGAGGTAGAATTTGGCTGTCCTGCTTTCTCCAGTAGCAGGGATTTCCAAATTATGAAACAATTTTAGAAAGCAGATTTTAACAGCTCTTGCCACACCGTGGCTTCTCTTCTGAAGGTTTCCGAGCACAGAGAAAGGATCCAGGGAATCTGGAGCTCAAACTGGAAGGATTGGGCCGATCTTCAAGGAGCTAAATAACAGCATCTAATGAGCACAAAGAACGGAGCATTTATGTTCACCTGGTGTGAGGTCTCTCGTGGTAACCGCAGACAAGGTTGTCCAGGTTTGCAGCTGACCCAACACTGGAAAGAATAACTAATAACCAAGGGCTAGGAATTCACCTAGAACGAGCAAGGTCTCTGCAAGAGCAAAATGAGTCTGAAGTAATACAGTAGTTGCATCAGCCCCACTTCTTAGCTCACAAACCTCACATTCTCTGGGTTTGCATGACTGATAAATCTCTCTGTCAAAGGGGGAAACAAACAACCATGACGGGGCAAGGAAAGCAGAGAAAATAAGCAAATGTAGCTATGCTTTAAAGTGGTTACCTGAGAGGTGAGGAAGGCCAGCGCTCAGGGGCTATCAGTCATAGGCCCTGAATTCAATACCAAAACCAATCAAATAAAGACAGCAAACCTGCTGCTGAAGCCCAGCTTGCTTCCCTGAAAACTGAGACAGACGAAGGTAGTAGAGGAAACAGGGAAAATGAGTAAACAGCTTAATTCATAAAAATCCATGAGGGAATACAGGATAAAGGGGACCCGAGCGGCAGGTGAATGTTCTTAGAGACGCATTCCCCATCCCTGCAAAAAAGTACATTTCCTTTGGTAAGCCTATCCAAATCTTAGCACTCAGAAACAGTGTTCATATCTAGGAACACTATAAAGAGGGCTGGGGCTGGGGCTGGGGCTGGGGCTGGGGCTGGGGCTGGGGCTGGGGCTGGGGCTGGGGCTGGGGCTGGGGCTGGGGCTCGGGCTCGGGCTCAGCCACCCTGGATTCCAAAGAAATAAAACCTGAATGTGTACATCAGGTTCCACCCTAGGTACAGATCCAGGAGCCGGGGAGACAGTTCAGGGTCTTAAAAAACCAAAACAAACAAATATGTCTTAAGAAAATAACTGGAAAACAGGAAATGCTTGTTCTGGAGAATTAGATGTCTTTTAATGTCCTTTTAGACTACTCTAAAAGCCCTGAAACATTTTAAGAACTGTCTTAACTAGAAATAGTTAAAAACAAAACACCCAAAACCACAGCAACAGATTTCATCTCAATGTTGGGAAGTTTCCCCTAGGACCTGACTCCACCCCCTCCAGGAAAAACAAATAACCATTTGGGCAAGGAGTTACTTAGTATTTTCAGAGATGGTACTTCAAGATCCCGAAGTCCGTGACAAAGCTTTACTGCCAGGAGCTACAGGAGCTAAAGAGACAAGGCCAGGCACCACTCTGAGTATATGCTAAGTGAAGGAGGAGGGAATGAGGGGTAAAAAGGCCTCTAGGATATGGCCTAAGGGGCCCACAGGTCACTTTCATCAGCCAAGCAGAAAGAGTAGCAGAGCCAGAGACACACAGCTATGTTAGTACCTGAAAGAGGAAAAGTAGCCAACAGATCCTTACAGAATGTTTCACACAGAGGCATTCCCGGGTGGGTGGGTGTGTATTCTTAAAGCTAAGTGTGGCTGCAAATCCCATCACTTGGGAGCCAGAGGTAGGTGGATCTTTGTGAGCTGGAGACCAGCCTGGTCCACATAGCAACTTCCAGGAGAGCCAGAGCTTTGTTAACAGAGATCTTGTCTTCAAAAACAAACAAAAACAACAACAATAAATTCTAAAGTACATATATTAAGAGTCTCTCTCTCTCTAGGGGCTGGAGAGATGGCTCCACCGTTAAAATCACTTGTGGCTCTTGCAGATCAGGGTTCAATTCCCAGTGCCCACAGAACGAACGGCTCACAACCATCAGTAACCCTGCTTTCAGTTTCCAAGAGGCACACATGTGCATGTACATACATGCATACAGGTAAAACATTCATACACATAAAGTAATATGAACAGATTTTTTAAAAATTTATCTCTAGAATGAAGAAACCCAAATGGAATCTTTTTTTTGCCCTGCTGAGGTTTAAACCTAGGACACTGAGGATGCCAATCAAGCCCTCTACTGCTGATCTACATCCCAGCTCCCAAAGAGGATCTTTTTATTTATAACAATTAAGTCACACTCATGTCTTGGGAGTGTGAGGTCAGAGGACAACTTTTGGCATTCTACTTCCTTCATGTGGGGCTCACTGATCAAAATCAAGTCATCAGACTTGCTAGCGAGTGCTTTTACCCATTAAACCATCTCCCAGTATCCCGAAGTTACAGGAAGTTGTGAGCTGCCAGACATGGTTGCTGAGAACTGAACCCAGCATACTCTCTTAATCCACTGACCCAGCTCTCCCACCTCCAAAACTTAGCTTTTCTTGAGGCAGGATGTCATTATGTAGCTCTAGCTGTTCTGGAACTCACTGTGCAGACCAGACCGACCTCAAACTCACAGAGGTCCATCTGAAACATTATGCTCCCCGCCCTGTCCCCAACAATGAGGATCTTGATGTGGCCAGTCAGGTCCCCAAATTCGGTTCACAGCTCATGTGTAATCTCAGGGCTGCTCTCCAGACCACTCAGTAAGTTTCCTCCACCCTTGACTTCAGGCTTCACCACCTCCACCCCAGGTGGTCATGTATGTCTTGACCATCTACTTGCCTGGTCGCTCTGAGCTCTGATAGTTCTTAGCACAAAGAGATGGTCCCATCAATACTTGGTTAATAAAGCTGGTTCTCTATATTAGTGAGTTGGGATTTCAGCCCAGCAGTGGGTGTCTTGAACCACACAAATTAACAGTAAATGTGTCAAATTGAGGTCATCCAAAAGCCCATGCTTACAATTCTGAGATAAAAGAAGGGGAAGAAGACAACAGTACAGTGTGACCTTGTCAGAGAGAGAATAAAGGGCCCCATCCCAAACTAAAGTCACAAGTACTTCAGGGGAAAAAAATCCCCTAGAGTCTCCAAACAATAACCAAGAAAGATTAAAAACTAAAACACAGGTTTGCTTGGGGATTGAGAGTACATAGCTCAGATGTAAGGTAGCAGAGCCCTAAATTCCTCGACGTCCAAAATTGCTCAATTCGAAAATGATACACAGAAATCTCTATTCTAAATGTGGAAGTGGTACGGATGGGTTGGTTGGAAAGTGCCTCAGCTAGCCATAGTAGCAGGTATTATCTGAAATTCCCTACAATTAACTAGTCCTTATGGCTGGGCTTAAGTTTTCTGGGCCCTGCCTGATAGACATTTTTGAAGCAGTTTTGGGTTGGTTGGTTTGTTTTCAATGCGTGCTGAGAGTCCAACCTCGTGCTACACACCCCCTAACCTTTAAGACACAATTCTAGTAGGATTTACCTTTAACAAAGAACCTCATACTGTAAGGCGCTGTCCCTAACTTCCTAGGTGGCCTGGAAGCTGCCCGGAAGGTGGAGTGTCGTCGTCCCCCCCCCCCACCCCAAATCTAGCTAACCTCGCCATCCCATTGCTAACAAAGGAAGCATGGACAACTAGATAAAGCCAAAACCAAAGAAAAGAGAAAACCACCGGTGGAAATGTAAGATTCATACGTAGAGAGCAAAGGAACTACTGTTAAAACTCGGGGCTACGTAGCTGAACAACCCACGAACTACAGAAAGCAGCACCAGAAAGCGCCTTACTGGGAAGCATTTCTCTTTTTCCCGGGATCTCAACAACACACCTGCTGTGCGCCGAGAGCCACACACTACTAACCTGCCTGGAAAGCTGCCTCCTCCCCGCCCCAGGTAATTCCCCTGGTGGCGGTTTGCCCGGTGAGCCGCGGGCAGGCCCGAGGACGCCGCCGCTCCTGCTGGGTCACTCCACCTGGGAGGAAAGGGGCCCAGGGTTGCCCCAGCGCCCAGATGCAGGGGCCATTTTGGTCCCCACCCACTCGTCTCCGCGTCCTTCCTCGGATGCGGGCCCCTAGCCGCTCGACCCGCGGGGCCGGCTTGGCCCGGGAGGTCTTCAAAGTGGACCGCCGAGGCAAGCTGCGGGTCCCCGCGAGCGCGCGCCCCGCCGCAGCTCCGCGCTCGGGAGCAGCCAGCCGGGCCAGCGCAGGGCAGCCGAGCCAGGCTTTGCCCCGGGGCAGGTCCGCGGTCCGCGGTCACGGATGAGAATCCACAGGGCGAGCAGCTTCCCTCGAAATCCAGCCTCACTCGAAAGGAACTCCGAGAGCCGAAATCAACAAGGGCGCGCGTAGCGCCCGCCCCCAGATTGCCAAGGGACTCTGGGGACACCGCAGAGGACCCCCAAGCTCCCCCTCTCCCGGGATGAGCTACCCAAAGGGGCGGAAACCACGAGGGCCACAAGGGCGTAGGTAGGGCTGCGTCGCCCTGCCCCAGCCCTCTACCCGAAGACCCCGGGAAGCCCACAGCTCTCCAGCGCCCCAGCTGAGCGCCGGGTCCGCCCACGAGGCTCCAGCCTCGGTTACAGCAGAAAGTCGCTCAGGCAGTTCTGGTGGGGAAAGTTTCACCCGCTGCTCCGGGAGAGAGAGAGAGAGCGAGAGAGAGAGAGAGAGCCCCCCAAATCTCCCTCCCGCGCTGCGCTCAGGCAACCCGCGCTTCTCCGGTTTCCGCGAGCCCCAAGTCCAGGGCGAAACTGCCACCGAAACTAGCTCCGCGCGCCCTCCCCGCGCCTTGCCTCCCAGCCGCGGCCGGGCGCCCTCGGGGACCCCCTGGCGCCGCACCTGCCTCGCACCCACCTGGGCCACGGGAACGCCGAGCGCTCACCTGCCGGTGCACCTGCTGCCAGCCGACAGCTTCCAGCGGCGGAGCCGCGGCGGCGTCCTCCGCCTCCCCCACCCCCTGCCCCCGGGCATGCGCACCGATTCCTGGCCGAAGCCGCCCGGGGCGGCGCGCTGGAGACCCACCTGCTGCGTCCCTAGCCGGTGGCTCCCGGGGCTGGACCGCTCTCCCTCAACGACACCGCCGCCGCCTCAAGAAGGAGGGGGAGGGAGGTGGGCACTAGCGACAAGGTGTGCCCTGGCCGGCCTCCTCCCTCCGTGACCCATTCACCTGAAACTCCGATGGGAGGGGGAGGGAGCAGCGAAGGAGGAGGCGGAGGACCGGGCCGGCCTCACCACCCGGAGCAAGTTAAAGGAACAGCGCCCGGCTTTTCCTGGAGGGGGCGGGGGCCTACGGAGAGGAGGGTCCCAGGACCGTGGAGGCCAGGGGGTGACCCCAGATCTCCTTGGGGGTGCTCGGAGATCTGCCTGCTTCGCGGCCCCTGCGGCGTGTTAGTTCCGGGGGAGGGGGAGTGAGGTCTGGAGGGAGCTGTTTTGGTACTCCGAGGGAGGGTCCAAGGGTGCCTGGAGAACCGACAAGAAAGCCTGAGCCCTCTCCCTGCTAGGTTTGATGACGTATTAGTTGGAAAGCAGCATCCAAATGCTTGTTCCAGCGACAGACTGGAGATTTTTCGGAAGTGCTACTTACTAGCCCCTTCCGAATCGGTGGATCGAGGAAAAGACCGTCCTCTGGAGTGATTGTAGATGTGCGGGTCACCAGGCCAAAGGGTCCTCTCCCACGCGTGCGGTGCGACTGAGTCTACTCCAAAGGGATTTTAAACCGTTTCAGTATTCTTTTCTGGCTCAAAACAGAAACAGTTCTGGCTGCTGGTGGCTATATTTATTTTACTCATACTCTGCCTGTGACTTTGGAGACTTGTGCGTGCGCGTGTGTTGTATTTTTTATTAATTGTACTCTGATATAGAGATTTTTAGTTCTTCTTAACTATCTGCATCGAAGGTGAGGATTTAAATTTCGTAAGTCCTGCTTCCTTTTGTGTTCCAATCCTGAATGTCTGCATTGCTAATAAATTTCTGTCCTGTCATGTGCTTTTTTCTGCCTTTGATTAAGTAAAGGTGTGGCTCTCCGTTGCATTACTTTTGAAGGCACAATTCAGTACTTCAGGAAGTAAAATTTTAAATGGTGACAGCCTTAATAGATGGTTAATCTAATTAGTAATTTTTCGTGAAGTCATTGCTATAATTATTTCAATGTCACTGTTGTTTTTGAATGATGCAGATTAAATAATATTAACCGGTAGGAAAGCCAGGCTAATCCTCTTAATGTTAGCTGTCAGATTGCTAAAATTTCCAAACATTCCAACTCAGATTATAATTAAACAAGGGAACATTTCCTAACACTCTGGCTGGTAAACACCTGTCTATTATCTTATAATATATGCTGCCCTGTTCTGAGGAAGACCTCCTGGGAGCTTGTTGCTGTTGCTTTACCTATTTAAAAATAAATAAATGTAAGTTTGACTGGGGGTCTGTCTCGTCCCTCTGCCCTGCCTGAAGCCCGAGTGTTCCATCCTTAGTTCACATACCAAAAATTTGCCCTTGCACAGTGTACTCACAGGGGCTGAAGAGATGGCTCAGAGGTTAAAATCAGCAGCTGCTCTTCTTCGGAACCCTTCTTCCATTTCCAACACCACAGGGGGCTCACAAACAGCTGTAACTCCAGTTCTGGGGGGAATGACACTCACTTCTGTCCCCATCGGCACACAAGTGGTGCATATACATGCATGCAGGCAACGTAATCTTCACGCTTAGAATTTTCAATTAAAATTTTTTTTTGGTTTTTCAAGACAGGGTTTCTCTGAGTAGCCTTGGCTGCCCTGGAACTCAATCTGTAAACCAGGCTGGCCTCGAATTCACAGAGATCTGCGTGCCTCTGCCTCCCAAGTGCTGGAATTAAAGAATTAAAATATTTTTAAAATAAAATGTGCATTTAATATTTTTTAAAGATTTATTTATTATTTATACAGTATTCTGCCTGCATGTGTGCCAGCAGGCCATAAGAGGGCACCAAATCTCATTATAGATAGTTATGAGCCACCATGTGGTTGTGGGAACCAAACTCAGGACCTTTGGAAGACCAGCCAATGCTCTTATCCTCTGAGCCATTTCTCCAGCCTTTAATATTTTTTACCAGTCACAAGGTTGTATAACCACCATGTTCTAATTCCAGAACTCTTTTTCAGCATCTCAAAAAGAAGCCCAATACATATTAGTAGTCATTTTCTTTTTCCAGCCCCTGACAATATTAGTGGTTTTTTTCTTTCTAACCCTCCCACAGAGTTTCTCTGTGTAGCCTTGGCTGTCCTGGAACTCACTTTATAAACCAGACTGGCCTCACAAAGATCCAACTGCTTCTGCCTCCCAAATTCTAGGATTAAAGGCATGCACCACCACTGCCTGACTTATTAATGTATTTTTTAAAGATTTCTTTATTTGTTTTATGTATATGAGTCTCTGTCTGCATCTACACTGCATGCCAGAAGAGGGCATCAGATCCCAGTTTCGAGCCACCATGTGGTTGCTGGGAATTGAACTCAGGGCCTCTGAAGAGCCGACAGTGCTCGTAACTGCTGAACCATTTCTCCAGCCCCTTATTGATGTCTTTTCTGTCTCTTTTGACTTGCCTATTCTGGACAGTTTATATGAATGGGTATTACAACCTATGACGGGGGGGGGGGGGGCTGGAGATTAAAGGCGTGAGGCACCTCTGCCTGGCTTTTTGGACTATTACAAAGAATATACTATTTGTGAAAATTCACGCATAAGTTTTAGCATGGACATAAACTTTCAAAACTCTTGATTAAGCATTCAAGTAAATTTTTTTTTGTCATTTTCAAGATGATACTATGCATATACTATTATTTTTCTTATTTCTAACCTAAACTTAAACCAAAAGGTACCTTGTGTTTGAAGGAAAGTTAGTTCTTCTAATGTATTTACAGTCCTACTGCCTCCATCTTCCAAGTGCTGTGTTATGGCAGCACCACACCCTCCTGACGATTTGCTTGTCCACATCACTCATTCATGAAGACTTCTTCCTCCTCTTCGTCATCCTCTTCTTTCCCCTCCCTTCGTCCTCTCCCCTTCCTTCTCCTCCCAGTTGTCCCAGCTGTTGATCTTTCAGGGATGGAGATTGACCCAAGAGCTTTCCTTATATCTGCTGTACCAATCAACTGCATCTCCAGCCCGCAGCTAATTTTCTAAGTGCTTCCTCGGGTCACAGCAGTGACAAAGCCCCTATTTTAATAAAGCTTGCCTTCTAGTTACTATTTATTATAAATGTGAAATTTTAAAAAATAAGTTGAGCTGTATGAAATTGGCAATAGTTGATCATTCTTCATTGTAAAAACTGTCAGCTTCATATGCTTTCTGTTAAAATACAGTATGCTTTCTTTTAAAATACCGTGTACTGTTTTCATTTGATTCAGATTAGTTTTTTCAAGCAATATTATAATATTTCAACGCTGCCTATATTGTGCTTACTAGGTAAAGACTGAAAGTGCCTCAAGGGGAAATCCAGCCTTAAACACGTCAGTCCTCAATACTAAAGCAAAACAGGTCAGATGAAAAAGGATGCCGTGCTCAATTCAATCACTTACAGAATCATAATTTGTAGCAAAGTCCCCCCCTTTTTAACCCAACAATCCATTTTGACAGCTCACCATAATATTGTAGTATTATCCACTCCTGAACATTATTCAGTTACGTTCATCTGCAAAGTAAACGTTTTTATTAGAGGATCTATAAGTAGATTCGTTTTTTTCAAATCAAGATTTAACAAGGTCTGGAGTGATGGCTCAATGCTTAGGAACACTAGCGGCCTTTCCGAAGGCTGGATTCCCAGCAGCCACATAATGGCTCACAACTGTTTGTAACTCCAGGGTATCCAGTGCCCTTTTCTGGTCTCTGTGGGCACCAGGTATGGCTGTGGTGCACAGGTACATATGCAAGCAAAACACTCATAACACATGAAAATTAAATGATAGTTTTTAGAAAAAGGATTTAAGAACTAACTTTTCTACCTTTTTATAAGGCAGTTAAGGACTCGGATTGGATTATGGTGTTTAAAACCTGTGTTCAGCCCCCAAGGTGGTGGCTCACTCCTGTAATCCCAGCACTCAGGAGGCAGAGGCAGGTGGATCTCTGAGTTTTCAGACAGCCTGGTCTACGATCAAGTTCCAGGACAGCCAAAACTACACAGAGGAAACCCTGTCAGAAAGCAAAGCAAAACAAAACAAACAAAAACCTGTGTTCAGACCTCAGTGTTGCCACTTAGTATTTGAATTAGATTAAAGAAAAATAAACTGTAAAAACATTTGCCACATTTGGAATCATAATAAATAGTACTGTCTTCAGGCTGAGGCAAGATGATCACAAGTTCAAGGCCTGCCTAGACACTGAGTGAGTCTCTCTCTAAAAAGTAAAATCAGGGAAAGGCGAGGCGGCAGGGTTTCATGGCGCTCCCAATGGCCTGAAACTTCCTGTGTATCTGAGGTAAGGCACTTGTCACCAAACCTGACAACCTGAGATGAAGCCCGGGCACCCACGTAGTGGAAGGAGCGAACCAACTCCCACAAGCGGGCCTCCGACTTCCACACAGGCCAAGACACGAGTGTGGGCATACACATATAGACAAAATAAATATAATTTGCAGAAAGGAAAAGCAGGGCTAGGGATATAGCTCAGTGACAGGGTGCTAACTAGTATTCATAAGGCCCTCTGGCCTCAGCCCTGCATGAAAAATAAATAAGTAAAATTAGTACCCTACCGTAATTTGGACAAGCATGTCCCCTAAAACACACTATATTCTGAGGCACAAACCGACTCTTACTAAATTTGACAGGACATTGTCGTACACCATCTTCCTAAAAGCATTCTCATGGAGCACACATTTGTAAGCTGTTATGGAATAACGTCTAATCAATATTCCCAAACCCAAGATGCCTGCCTGGCACTGTCTACCTCTTGGCTAGCCACCTGCCATCATGAAACTGGCACATTCCTCTTCCAGGCTTAAATCACTAGTACCAGGGTTTATAAGGAAAAAGACGGGGAGACTAGAATATTTCCACCCCACTGTGCCAGCCTAGCGAGCGAATTCAATGTCTAGCATTTGTTTAAGGGCATCTCAGTTTGGAGTGGCTGCCAGCCTGGCCTGAAAGGCCTCTGTTGTGCCCAACAAGAAGGGAGTCGCCCTGTCTTCATAAGGCCGTTTCCTTGGACACA